AGTGAGTGGGAAACTGACTGACCCATGGTGCCGGAGCCGTCGCCGCCCCCGTAGAACGTCGCCGTGGCGGTCGTCCAGTAATACTGGGCGTCGACCCCATGAGAGGCTATTCCACAGAGCACGCTGAGCAGCACTAGTGCTACTGCTGTCTGTTTCTCCATTGGATTGTTGAAGATGACAGACAGAGAGGGAGATAGTACTGCTTGGGCCGAGCAAGTCTTGTAATATGCTGTGCCTTGTGTACTGTGTACCTACTGCACCCTGGGCTTTATAGTATGATGATGAGCATGCATATCCTCTAACTGGTACAGTTGCAGTTGGGTACTCGCGGGTTAACTTAGCCGCCCTCCATCGTTCCTTATTTGACTTTTGGCACATCAAGTTTTTCAAACTAGTAAGATATACATTCCTGACGTGTTCACCATGTTCTTGATGCTCCAAGAAGTTTAACTACGTCTCGACAAATTCCTGCACTGTCAGCGTGCATGTGCCCTAACTGAGATCCACACCGCCGTGCATGTGAGAGAATCATTTGCGCTGAAAAATTCAACCAGAACAAGATGGTGGAAACAAAGAGTCTGACCAAATTTCAGAAAAGTACAATACGTGCAATTCTATTGCAGCTATAGGAGGATATAACGAGATGCTTGAATGTCCTAATCTAATGAAAATCAGCTCCAGCTGTAAATCTCCTTCCGAATGGATCTCAACCTGGATTTCTCCACCGACTTTCGTCGAAATTGGCACCGCCACCACTGGCGTATCACCGTCAAGGTTAGACAATTGTGCTGAAGCTTTAATTATGCCACTAGAATTTTTTTTCATGCACATATCAAAATTAACATGTTTTTGCACATCTCACCGACGTATCACTTATACCTCACCGATGTGAAATTTGCACATCTCAAAATTAATATGTTTTTGCACCACCGCTTGACATCCCGAGAAGCTGCTCACATTAACATCACACAAGGCAAGATCTCGCCACATGAGCCTATGTGCAGTCTACTGTTGTCAGGGTATAGTGCCATGTTCTGATATGTGATTTTACTTGGCTAAACTAACAGTAGGCTAGCTTAGCCTACAATGGGTACATTCCCACTAGGTATGCTACGCACTAGTGTACATTCCGGACGGACAATTATTTCAGTTAGATTGAGACTTGTATGTACACTAAGTCTAACCCTCCTGCAGGTCAATCATGTATTAGTAGTAGACTAGTAGTACTGGATCCATCCACCAATTGATTACTGAGGACTTTGCATTTGTGCTGCGTCGTTGCGGTTAGTTTATCTAGCAACAACATGTAGGGCCCGTGAAGCAAGGGGATCTAGATGGTGATAACATGGCCAATTGGCGCCCAGATTAACTGCAACTCTGAAGCTGACAGAATGACTAGGGTTTAAAATTGGTGATCTTTCGACCGACAGAGAGTGATAAGCTAGCGGTGAGATCCAGAGTGGTAAGTACGGTAGTTAAGATTCCGTATGAACACAGCATTGGGATGGCTTCTCGATCTGTATCAGCGATGGCCACATGGTTTCTGTTTTCCATTTCTTTTTTTTTTGTTATATGACTACGGGGTTTACCATCTCACTTTTTTTTTGAACAGGTGAAGAGGCCAGAAGGACTGGTATTGCATTTTGTCAAAACGGAGGGCCGTACATCTTATAAACAGGGCCCAAAGAAACTGAAAACTACAAAGATGTCCATGGATCTTATGAAATGGACCCCGAAAAGAAAAGGAAAAACGTAATCAGGTCCAAAATGTCCATGGTGGATCCAATCATCACGGGTGCCGGTGCCGGCGATGGACCACTTGGTTCGACGACCTTTGCAGTTGCACCGCATACTCCGTCTAGAAGCAACATTGCCACCCTTTTGGCATCAAGGTAAGGAGGAAAGAACTTTGCCGCTATTCGGCCTAAAGATTTGATAGATCAATGGAAAAAAGTTCGATTGTGATGTGGACCCCAACCTCTAGCTAGACCAAGGGACAACATTGTGGTCGTCGAAAGCTCAGAGCTGACAAGGCGAAGCACCAATTGAACAAGTTGAGAAGGTATCCCTCACATGTAAGTAAAATCCGAACAGACTTACGCATCGCTACGGGCGAGTACATCTTGTCGTAGTCAAGTCCTTGAATTTGTCGAAAACCTTCTGCAACAGGTTGAGATTTGTAGATGTAAACATTTTCATCGGCGTCTGTCTTTTTCTTATAGATCCAGTTACATTCAATAGGTCTAGTGCCATCCAGATTGACTACCAAGTTCCAAACTTGATTCTCGTACATGGATGTTATCTGAGGTTACATGGCATCAAGACATTTTCCACATGTTCATCTTGATCTACCATGAAAATTCCGTCCACATACCCGCGGTAAATCATGAATTTTTCATGTCCTGCGTGGTTCAGCTACACACTTGACCAAAGGGCGAAGTATCTTCATCACATGTAGATGCTTCTGGTTCAGTCGTAGGAGTGGGTTCCGGAACAATTTCTAGCACCTCTATCATTTGGTCTGGTGCTGAAGATTCAGCAATCTCGTTAAGTTGTATTGTTCTCCCACTCATCTGTTTCATAATAAATTATTTCTAGAGAAATACTATGTTCGCTGCGAATGACACTTTGCCTTCGGTTCCATGTTAGAAGTAATACCCAATAGTTGTTGGAATTTAGTCTAGTTTTGGGCCAGCCCAATAGCATTTTCAGAAATTTCTTATAAATCATAGAGGCCTACTTAGCCCATTCGTGCAAGGCAAGAGGTGGGACTAAAGTTTAGTCCCACATTGCTAGTTTGGTAGGAGTTGGACCTCCTTATAAGGAAGATTGTTTCCCCATATGTATGAGCATGAGAACAAAGAGAGACATACATGTGCTCCTTCGCCATCCGCCGTGCCGCGGGAATGAGCTGAGTTGTTGTCTAATTTTTCGCCACGCACGACATATACGAAAGGTCACACAGGAGCTGAAAAGGTTTACTGTAGTGGGGATTGAATATGAACATTGCACCTTTCGGCTGCTGGTTGTCTGTTTCATCTTCCTCTTCCTCTTTTCCATCACTGCATGTTTGCTTCCTTCTCTTGTGCCTATAAACGAGAGGTCGCACCTCTCTAGAGAGAGACATCAGAATATCATCTTCCTCTCACCACCAAGTTTCTGAGCACTGAGCTACTGCTACGATCTTTCCCATCCCGGCTTGCGGCATGCACCGCAGGTTGGGACAATAGGCCTTCGAAACCCCGCCTCTTTGACTCATGCATGGGAGAAGGGTGATAAGATTTTTGGGGAGCGTCCCGCGCGACTACTGACCCTATTCATCACGGACGCCCCGGACGCCGACGACCACTTCTCCAACGATGACTTCTTCCTCGACGTCGACAACCTCTTCCACGACATAGCCGACAAGGACATTGACCCCAAGACCAGTGCTTCTGCCACTGCTCCGCAGGTCTTCGTGTTCTTTCTGTTTAAGATCCTGCCACAGTTTCTTGTTCTAGCCTCTGTTCTACATATGTTCTGTTCTAATTCACATGTGCAGATGTTGTTTGCCTTCACTCTGCTAGATTACATGACTTGTTTCATCTCTACTATAATAGTCATGTTTTATCTACTATAGTTGTTAATAAAATCATATGGTAAATTGCTCATATTTCTAACAATCCAAAAACCTCCTTATTATAGGCAATTACCCTGAGTGGTTTTGCTGCTTCCATGAGACCTCTTATGTTTGAGGGTGTGCACTATAAGAGGTGGCGTGTGAGAGCCGTTCTATGGTTTCAAAGCATGAGCTGCTATGACACCACTCTTAGCAAACCTGAAGAGTTCTTAATCCTCAGCATGAACAAGCTTTTCAGAAAACTGATACCTTGTTTAAGGATGCTCTCTTGAGTGTTCTTGGTGAGAACATAGTGGATGCTTATGCGTCAATTGATAATGGAAAAGATATGTGGGACGCAGTCGAGGCCAAGTTTGGGGTCTTGGATGCTGGCACTAAGTTGTATATCATGGAACAATCCTATGATTACAAGATGACTGATGAGTGCTCCGTGGCTAAGAAAGCTCATGAGATACGGTCATTTGCTAGAGAACTTGAGCACTTCAATTGTATGTTACCGGACAAGTTTGTTGCCAGAGGCATCATCACTAAGCTTCCTCTCTCGTGGAGGAACTTTGCTACCTTTCTGAAGTACAAGAGGCAGGAGTTTTCCATTCCGGATCTCATTGGTACTCTTGATGTGGAAGAAAAGGCGAGAGAAAAATACATACTTGCTCGAGGTATTGAGGGAGGTTCTTGTGCGGATATGGTACAGAAGAGAAACTTCCAACCCCAAAAGTTCAGGAACAAGGGCAAGTTTGATGGTAAAGGGAAGTTTGATGGGAATAACAAGGCTTCGCAGCACACCAACTTCAAGAAGAAGACTGACAAGAAGAAATGAGTTTGTCACGTGTGCGGAGATCCTAATCATTGGGCTCCTAGTTGCCCTAACCGTTATGACAAGCGTCAACATGGGAAAGGCGGCAACACCACTAATGTTGTCATTGGGGTCATGGACATGAAGGATGTTTGGTATGGTATATTTCCCACTATTTTTTCAGTATGTCATTCTCCAGATTGGTTGATTGACACGGGTGCTAATATACATGTATGTGGTGACATTTCCATGTTTTCTTCTTATCAGACCGCAGTGACTTCCATCATGATGATGGGCAACGGTTCAGGTACTTCTGTTAGTGGTGTTGGCATGGTCAATCTGAAGTTTACTTCGGGGAATATCGTGCGGCTGAAGAACATGCATTATGTCCCCTCCGTCAATAAAAATCTTGTTAGCGGGTCTCTTCTCTGTAGAGATGGCTACAAGCTTGTCTTTGAGTCCATTAAATTTGTAGTCTCCAAGTATGGAACTTTTGCTGGTAAAGGTTATGAATCAGGAGGCTTGTTCAAACTATCTTTGTTAGATGTTTGTAATAAAGTTGTTAATCATATTTGCAAAAATAGTGAATCAAATGTCTGTCATTCACGTCTCTGTCCTGTTAACTTTGGTTGCATGACGTGGTTAGCCAAGTTGAACTTAATCCCTAATTTCACCCTTGTTAAGGGATCTAAGTGTCAATTTTGTGTGCAAGCTAAACAACCTCGTAAGTCTCATACGAATGCAGA